TTGTGCTTTGGGTTCCATCCAGTTGGAGGGATGAATGACTGTTGGGAAAGATCACTAAAACGAAACCCGCTTCACTTCCTCAGGGTAAATGTTTCAAGATGTGACATAGCAATGGAAGAGGCGGGATCCATTGGCAAAGCCATGCTTGGGTTCCTTCTGACGGGGGGGTGGAGATGTGGGCCTTGGGAAGAGGGGGCATCATTCATGAGGACCTGAGAACTATCTTTGGGTGATGGCGCCAAGATCCCAGATGATGCAGATTTCATTTCACTCCTTTATCAGAGGATCTTCTCCAGGACAGGCAGTGTTCTGGATACTGCAAGTGTGCCCCACAATAAGCAGTTATCAGTCTCCTGGCCCTCATGCAGTTGCAGGGGGCTGGGTTCCACCAGCAGGGGCTGGCTCATGCCTAGGATTCTGGGAGAGGATGTGGGAAAACATCTAGGCTCATGGGAAGGGCAGGTCAGATGTGAGCAGGGGAGAGAATCCACAGCCTATCTCACAAGCCTGTCCCAGTTTTGAGGTGGATCCCCCAGGAACTGAATGAGCTAAACTGGTAGGGAAAAAGGGTCGGGGGCATGAGCCAAGCTGGGGGGGAGGGGAAATGACCAGAGATTTGAGCAAGGAAGAGATTTGAGCAAGGAACTGTGGCCATGGCAGGACCCCTGGCAGTCCCTGGCCCTGTTGTTCACAGCCAGATTTAGCTCTGGACCTTTGCTGCTGAGGGAGGCTCACAAATCCCTCTGGGGCACTCCAGTACTCCTTCAATCCAGGGTGAGAGTGCCCCACTGCAACAGTTGCCTTCAATGGGGAGCTTCCAGGATGACTGGAGCAGGGGGGCATGCAGAAAACTGATAGGGATTTCACACGAAGGTAAAAACTGTCCCCCTACTCCCCACCTCACTTACCCCAGGAACCCTGACTGCACCCCCGAGGCTGGCTTGACTGAATGGCTGGCACCATCTTTAGATAAATAATTCATTCATCCAAATTCCTGTGTCTATTATAGAAGCCTAGAGTCAACAGCTTCTCCACTCTTTTAGCCCCAATTAGGCTGTTCCACTGAATTCCTCCTGGCTGCAGTGATTGTCAGGTAATGACACCTGGGCCCATAAAGGCTGTGCCAGGACCAAATGCAGCTGAGCCGAGGGGTTCCTGGCTGGGCGCAGGGATGCAGAGACGGCTCATAAAGGAAAAGAATGAGTCGAGGCTGATTAAGTATCAATCATTTAAATATGCCTCTAAATGCCAAGGAGCTCCGCTCCCCCTCTGATGAGTAGTCGGAGGAGCACGCGGACCATCCATTCTGTGGACGCCAGCGTCTCCGCATCCCCGGGTCTCCACTTCTAACACGAGTTGGAATAAATCACTTTTAAATTGCACAGAGACATAGAGGCAGGAGTTAGAGGAAGAAAGAGTTATAAATGCAAAGCCCGACTGGTCTTTAGTGTCATTATTTCAAAGCCCAAGGCCCATTCATTTTAGGGCCTGCTGCTGGGCTCTGAGTGTGAGGACAGTCATGTAGAGGCACTGCCTCATTCGGATCAGATTTGCCAACGGTTTCAGCCATCATTCTGTCCAGACTACCTTAATATATTCTAGTCAAGCGAGTAGGCAATGCAAAATGGGCTCCGTGACATCGCAGGAAAGCCTGTATTTCCTTGGGATGAATATATATATATATATATATATGTATATATATATATATATATATATATATATAGCCTGCATATTCGGAATTCACACTATAATCTCTCAGCATTCCTGAGCTTGTAGCCCGAGTTCTCTAGCCTCTTTTCAGGATCCCTGGACCTCTGGGGACTTGGCAGAGGCCTCTGAATACAGGGTAAGTTTACCCCTCTGATAGTGTAAATGGATGATAGGTAAGGAAGGAAGGCTTCTTTGAAACTTGGCCAGGCTGAGTAAGACATTCACAAGGCTGAGTTAATAGAAGTGTGTGAGACGGTAATGACATGCTGCTGAAACCTAGCGCTGCCAAATGTCATTTTAAAGGCACTCGAGCTGTTCCCACTTTCTGATGTGGAGAAGAGAAAAAAGGAGGCAAATGGCGAAAATAGCATTGCCACGAACAGGCCCAGACAGCTTAATGATTCTAAAATGTTATCCTAAGATGGGAGGTGAATGGGAAGCAGGGGATGTGAACCAGGGCACACACCTGACTACTGACACACACACACACACACACACACACACACACACACACACACACACACACACTGGGGCCTTGGAAGGAAAGAACATCTAGAGTCAAGTCAATCAGGTCTTTGGCCAAGGAAAAATAGACGATAAAACTTCCTTTCATGGAATTGCATAAATGAGCTGGATGTAGAAATGATCAAGTACATTTCTATATGGAAAAATGGAGGCAGAAAATAACACTATGTGCTCTGGTCTGGTGAGAGTCCAGGACACGTTCTTTTATTGCTGTTATTTTGCAATGAATATAGGTGTGTGTGTGTGTGTGTGTGTGTGTGTGTGTGTGTGTTTGTACATATACATGTACCTAGCTGCCCCATTTTTCAGTAGTGGTGCTTACACACACTTTGGGTGCAGGCATCAGGGCTCAATCAGGGGAGCTACATATTTAGGTGTGGTACTCACACAAATGGCCGGGAATGTTGGAGATCCCTCATTTTAGTTTGGCCCTTGGCAATTCCAGGTATCAAACCCTCATGCCTACAAGGAAGGTGCTCCATCATTCAACCACATCCTTGTGACAGACTCTTTTTGCATGGGGTTCTGAAGGTTGATTCCCATCATGTATTCCTTTTTTTGGGAAAGATCTAGCAAGCAGTGCTCAGAAGTCCAATGGTGCAAAGGGTCAAAAGTGAGGGTCAATGTGAGGGTCCAAGGACATGGTGCTGCTCAGGTCTCTGGTGCAGTGATTGAGTCACATCAGTGCCTCCAGATATGCACCTGGTGTGTGCTCAGAGGACCATGTGGTGCCAGGGATCAAATGGGAACTGGTTGAATGCAAGGCATATGTTTACACCCCTGTGCTATCTCTCTAGTCACCTCTCTCCATTGTATACTCTTAAGTTTGGGTGTATATTTATGAGGATAGTATCTTAATAATTTTATTTAATCATCACGACTTACTATATTGTTAATGACAGAGAATATTCATGTGTAACATTCTATGCTCACATTAAATTTTTGTTGTTGTGTTACTTTGGGCCACACCTGGCAGTGCTGAGGGATTAATCTACTTTGTGCTCAGAGATCACTAGTGGGACTCGAGGGGCCATATGCGATGCTAGACATTGAATGGGGATGGCTGCATGCAAGGCAAGTGCCTTAACCTGCTCTATCTCTCTAGTCCTGAGCAGAGATTTAGTTTGCAATAAAAATAGAGAGAAAATATTAGCGTCACTTCCAAGATTTGGGCTGTGGGCATTCTAAACTCTCTAGTTCATTTCTTCATATTTAAGATACAGTTAGTTAAGATGAAGAGATGACTCAGTGGGGAGGAGTGCATACCATGCATGAGGAGGATCTGGGTTTGATCCTCAACTCCTTATGATTCCCCCAAGCACCTCTGGGTGTGGCCTGAATAAAATAAGATAAACTTAATAGTGATATTTGCCTTGACTACCTCTTAGAGCTGCTTTGAGAACTACACAGTACAGAAAATATGAAATGTACTTTTCCCAAAGCAAAGTGTCACACAATGATTAGAAATCACGATTATACTACAGAAGTCCATCCACTCAGTCTCTCCCCACAATTTCAAAAATGAAAACACAGTTCATCGGGGACTAGAGCTAAAAATTGGCTGCTGATAATCTAATCCTTTACGCCTTCAGAAAAACTAAGCTCTGGTTTTCTTCACTCTTTTATCGGTCACACAATGGAGCACAGGAGACTGCTCAAGAAACATTTGCAATACTCATAAATAAGAACATATCAATAAACATGAGAGCTTAGCTAATGCATTAAAGTGCCAGCCAACCCTTACAGACCAAACTTGATCCATCTGTAAGTCCCCTAACTTCATTTGTTGCTTCCATGGCAAAATTACAGAAACGATAGCAGAAGGCCCCATGATCAGTGTGTCAGTAAAATAATACTGCATGAGGACTGCCTCCACGTTCCATTCCCCAAGGTCAGGAGTCAATTTCTATGACATAGCTTCTGAGCCCTGTATCAGAGTTGATCCCCTACAGGTTCTCACCCTTTAAATGAGCTCAGTTGGTTGATGCATCTTCTGTGTCTCGGCCACCTAACTGTCATTCCTGTCCCAAATTCTACGCAGGACCAACCATCCACCCTTCCTGTCTTACATCTTCCACGATGCCTTTTCTGTTCTGGGAGTCCAAGGTGGCATTTTCCTTGTCCTTACTTTCTTGGATTCCAGTAAAGACTTTCATAAAGAGGATATATGAGGAAAAGCTACAGGAAGGGCCAACTGCTTGAACAATAGAGACTAGGGGAGAGGTGGGAATGAGGTAGAATGGGTTAGTGAGTAACATACCCAAAGTGACAGTGGTTCAGAGAAAGCTGGAGTTCAGTCACAAAGTCCAGTCTTCCAATCTGGACCTTATTTTCCCTGCCACCATACTCTTCCCCACCTCACTCTTGATGCCTGAGCAGATTCTCATGAAATCAGTTTTAAATGGCAGAAATCAGTTTTTTTCATGCCACACTCCACTCATTTTTTTTTGGTTTGTTTTGGGTTTGGGGGCTATACCCAGTGAAGTTTGAGGGTCACTCCTGGCTGTGCCTGGAGGACGATGAGGTGCTGGGGTTCAAACATGGGTTCCCTATATGCAAAGAATATGCTCCAGCCCACTGTTCTCTGGTCCTGGAACAATTCATGACTTTCAATTTTCTGGGCCCAAATTCAGTTGAGCTACAAAACCAATGCCCAGAACTGACCCCAAGAGCTACTACAGCACAAAGACTCTGTTCCCATAGTAAAGACATAAGAAAGAAATCAACATCCCTGCTGGAATTCTACAGAACCACTCACAGCTTACCTTGGTTTCTCGGAGAAGAAACTGCAGATCCCGTCCACTGAGGATACCATGGTTTTTCACGTAGCTAGGAATATACTTTGTGCCAGAGCCATATACCGTGGCATGCACTTCCATGTATGTGTGAATAATGTCCAAGTAGATCTTCTTATTCTAAAGATAAAAAAGATATGAGATTTTTTTTTGGTCTTTCTCACAATAACCTGTATCATGACTGAAGTTCTCAGAGATGGGTGTTCTAAAAGTGGCGAAGACAAAACTTCGGCAACCCAACCGAAAATTTCTTTCAAGAGGGATCAAAGCAGATTTTGACTCATTACTGAATAACAACAGGAGTCTAGGTCAACCATTTGAGGCATCGTCCTTGCTTTTTAAGTTCCTAGGGACCCAACACTTTGCTTAGAGTTCATCCTCAGGAGGGGAGGAAACTTGGAAGAAAGAAGCCCAGAGCAAGCCGTTGGACTAGAATATTTATCTGGAGTTGCTAAGCTGTACCCAGAGGAATACAAACATCCTTAACTCTTGCCAGCCTTCCTAGTAACGATTAAGTCATGTTGTCAGAGGCAAATACCACCTAATACAGACCATGGGCTGATGAGAATTTCCCACAATAGAAATGGATGATTTGGCAGCTGGAGAAAGAATGAAACTAACCAGGTAGTCAAAAGTGGAAAAAAGATTAAATGTAAACTTCCATGATCCCCCAAAACATTCCAGCGCAGTTGCATGTTTATTAGAAGCAAAACGAAATCCCTCATCTATCATTTGTAGGTGCTGGCTTTGGAAGCACAAAATCAAATCCACCTGCTAAGCAAAAGCTCCATCACTTTCCCTCCATCTTCCTTTTCTGGGATTAAGTCCCACAAGCTGGGTTTCGTGATCTGCTCCGTGGGCTTTTCTGTTGCTGAAAGATTCAAGTTCTATCTTGTTTTCTGGTTGCATGGAAGCAGGACAGGATTTTACCACTCTAGGTCCATTTCACAAACTGTAGGAAAATATACTCGAAACCAGAGTTGTGACTGAAAAACTGCAAGGGGCACAGCAGTGGCACCAAGCACAGAAAAGGGGGAGGCTGAGAAGCAGAGAACAAGGGGAGTAGCCCTTGGCACCTGCCCGGGGTGAGGCTCGTCCTACTCCCACATGGTCTTCCAAGAGCAGCATACAAACAGGGGGAGGTGAGAGCCTGCCCTCACAGCCTCACAGTGAGAGGCTGACAAAGGCCTTTCCTCTTTTAAATTTTGAGTCCAAAGCTTCATACCTGGGAGAACAAGCAGCCTTGGTATAGCCTCTACTGCAACCACTAGGGTGATTTTTGTTCTGAATCAATCAAGCCCATCCATCCCTGTGCCATGGTGTACAAAACGAACACTCGGAATGAAAGTGTAATTTCATGCTATGTTCAGTATGGTGGCAAATGCTACATTCTTAATTTCAGAGCAGTAACCCCTTCGAGGAGAGCAGAGGAAATCAGTTTCTTCTCAACACTTTGCCTTTCTAGCCCGAGTTCCATTTAGATACACTCCTGTTGTATGTTAATAGGACCCTTAGTTCTTGTGCAAATGCAGCTGTGACAGCTACTTGCACAATTTCCCTCTTGTGATCTCATCTCTTCCCACAGCCTCCAACTCCCAGGAGGCTGCTGGGGGGCTCTGTAACTTTGACCTTTATTTAACCACTAGCAGGGGCTATCTGTAGATTGGCCAGTGGCCTGGGATAGTGTGGCCAACTCGGAAAGAAGCGCCATCATGCACCCTTTCTGGAGCTCTGAATTGTGCACACAGAGGGATTACCACCAGATGGCTGTGGGCTTCTGAGAAAAAAGAGGCCATTCGGTGTGGGAGTCTCTACAATTATGGGCCAGATAGAAGTTTCACGGAAACCAGCTGTCAGTTTGGGGCGTGGGCGTGGGAAGAGAGGCAGGTAAGAGCTGAGAGAGGAGAGGGAGGACAGAGACACTCACTGGTGATCAGAGGGAATCACAGAGAGTCGGAGGCCTGGCCCACACCCAGAGGGCAGGCAGAGAGAGGGATAAAGGGTGTAAGAAGGGACAGAGGAATAAGAGGAGGAATGGAGGAAGATGAAGAGGAGGGAACATGAAGAGACGGGACACGGTGTGAAAAACAAGCAGAGACAGATGGAGCCAATCAGGGCCCAGAGAGCATCCGGGGCTCTACCCACCCACATTTGTCCTTGTGCTAAACCCCTGTTCTCTCTGGATTTAATAATAGCGGTTCCCCTAGCTCTTCCCTCCCCGCCCTCACTTCTCCTTAAGTTACTTGGTAGATCCCTATCATCCTAAGCACCACTAGGGGTTCATCTTGCCAGACCTTTAACAGGCACTGGGCAAGAGGGATGGGGGGCAGGTTTCTTGCTACTCTGCAGGTATTTCTTTCCTTGTGCACAGTCAGCGAGTGAAGACGGAGCGAAGGTGCCAGAACTAGCCTGTGGGAGCACCAAGGGGAAGCTGATTGAAGATCCTTAAGGGGCCATCCTGGAGAGGAGATTTCCCTGCACACAGGCAAGACGGAGAGGCCCAGCACAGAGACAGGAAAGAAGGCCTCAGAGTAGCATTCACCCAACCCAGGGCAGGCCGAGGCGCCCTGGAGTCTAACAAGGGGCAAGTTCAGGCAGATACGCACAAGTAGAAGCAAAGGCGAATAAAACCTGTGAATTTCTTTCCATTGAAGGCAGGGGAAAGGCAAAGTAGAAATTATCTTCAGAGAGCATTTATATATGCTCCCCGAACAAGAAAATCCCAACAGGTTATTAGAGAGGGGGAAAAAAAAGTTTCCAACAACTTTAACCTTTGAAGTTGACATGACAATTAGACGATTCCATCCCACGTCTCCTGTTGCCACTCGTCGGAGTTCTGCAGGAATCGGATGAGGGCGAGCCCTGCTACCTTTACCTGGCAAAGTGCAGGAGAAGCCCTTCACCCCAGGAGCTGTCCTGATTCCCCAAGCCTCACATTTCCGACTCGCTTGATGCTGAGGAAACCCACAGAGGCATCTTAGGTCAGAAGCAAGACCTGGATTTGGATCCGAAAATCCATCCGCCTCTGACCCCCGTAGCACTCCCAACTCAATAGGCCACAGAGGGATTTCCCTGCCCACCCCTATGTCCTGATCACAATGGCCAGCCTGAAGGTCCCTGCTCCCAACCAAATATCTGCAGCAGCTTTATACCTGCTATCCACATAACAAATTAGTCCTAGGGCCCAGTGGAGTCTATATCTGTACCATCAGCATTGTTGCCTTTCCAGGCTTCACTCATTTGGATGGTGCCAAGATGAGGACCACCAGCATCTGAGTGCTTGTCCCATAACTCGAAGAGGGGATACATCTTGTCCAGCGTTTCCCCAAGTAAGTAGCGGAGTCACAACCGACAGCAAAGATTTATATGGTTCACTGCCACAAATATTTTTTTGCTCTGGCAAAAGCAATGTGATGCCTATGGACAGTGTTTTTCCATCGTGACATTTGTGGTTAAATTCACAAATATGCATGGGACTAACAAACACCAACTTCTGGATACAGAGAGAAGGTTTGAAAAAGAAGATGAGGCTTGAATGGTACTTGTATCACTTCTCTGTTACAAAGTTGTAAAATATGAGCACTTATGAGTCTAGGTGGTAGGTGTATTTGATATACTAGATAATTTGAGTAGAAAAAATATTCATACATGCCAGAAAAAAACAGAAGCCAGTCTGTGGGACTCCTAGTGGCATCACTGACTCACAATAAGGCTTAATTTCTGCTGTAGAGGCGGTTCACAGGATTCCTTTCCCCCCTTCAAGATGTATTGCTGTCTTCGGTGTTTCAGAACTGGGGTGGTAGGGTTTCTTAACTTAAGCATATTCCGACTGCATCTCCTTAACCCATGTGAAGGCCTAAAGTGGGATGAGGGATCCAGGGGTAAGGACATTTTTCAGCACATCCTTGGCTCTCAACTCAAAGCTCTGAGCAGAGAGACTTTAGGCTACTGAGTTCTTCCCCACTGATCCCGTGATGATCTAGAGTACTTCTGGGAAAACTTCTACTTTCTAATTTAACACACCGAGGCCCGAGAAAATGATCTTTCCAAGACCCCATGATGATGCATTTAGGAAGATCCATCCAAAAGAGCTTGTATGGCAGAACCACCCTTGGTACATGGCCACCCTGTGTCCCCACTCTGTCTCAGGGCCACGAGGAATGTCTCAACAGAGGTCCCAGCTGAGCAACCTGCAGCCCCAAGATGCTGGCAATCTCAAGTTCAGTTTAAGTTCCCATTAGAAAAACCAATCAGACTGATTAAATTTTAAATCCACCTAAGCTCATTCGGAGGAGGAGAAGGGAAGAAGCACAGGAGAAGGAGAAAGGAGGCAGCGAGTGAGCCTGCTAGAGTAACGGGTCCGTGTTTAGGCTGTGGCTGGGGGCTGGTACATTTGCAGAGCACATTCTCAGATGTTCAGAGCTTGAATGGAGAGCATTAGGAAAACAACTCAATCAGAGGCAAAGCTCGTGTGTGTGTGTCCGCAGCAGGGGGCAGAGGTAGAACGGGAGGTGGTATGGGTGTGATTCCAGCGGGTGAATGAAGGGGAGGGGATGTCTTTGGCAATGGCAGAGAGTATGTACTCTTTCCCCCACTAACACTCCTGCCTTACCACTGCAGAGACATTCACCCCTTCCCTGGGACTCCATTTTCCCTCATCCATTTGCTACTTCGGGAGACTTTTCAGTTTTGGGGGAGGGTGCCCTGGGAGCCATGCAGTGTGGGTATCCAAGCTGGGGCCTCACATCCCTAACCTAGTGATCTGCTCTTTTTTTAAACATGTATAGTTCAGGGGCTGGAGCGATAGAATAGCGGGCAGGGCATTTGATTGCACACGGCCGACCTGGGTTTGATTCCTCCACCCCTCTCGAAGAGCCTGGCAAGCTACCGAGATTATCCGGCCCGCATGGCAAAGCCTGGAAAGCTAGCTGTGATGTATTTGACAGGCCAAAAACAGTAACAACAAGTCTCACAATGGAGACGTTACTGGTGCCTGCTCGAGCAAATCAACGAACAACAGGAGGACAGTGCTACAGTGCTACAGTGGACAGTTCGGGAGCTGGGGAAAGGGGCGGAATATACCTACACAGCAGGTACAAGGCCACGAGTTCGGGCCCTTG